AAGTGAAGTGAGGGAAGTAACATCCTTTAGAAAGCCATACGGTTTCATAGTGTGTGTGCATGTGTTTGTGTGCCGAGTATATGTGTTTGTATATATATGCACACACGTGTGTGGGTGTGGATACGTACGTGCTTGTGTGTGTGTGTGCACATGTGTGCCGTGTGAGCATGTGTGTGTGGGGACGTGCGTGGGTGTTTGTACAGGGTGTGCATATATGTGCGAGGATCAGTGAAAGTTTCTTCATGCATTTGGCTAGGCCTTGGCTAGCTCAGTAATTTCAGAGCCACTAATTACAAGTTGTCCGTCATGTGTAGAATGCTCTGTGTGGCCGCCCCACGCTCGTGGCCCAGTGAGACGGCTGTCTCTCCCCCCCGATGACCTCCGTTCGCGAAGTCTCTGTGTTGGTCCTCCTCGCCCGACCTCGTCCTCTGAGCCACCCGCTGGCATCACTGTCCGCGCCCTGCAGATATCATCTGTAGAAACTGGAATCTTCCCCACCCTTTAACTAATAGTGAAAGAGTTTAAAAGCAAGTTATAAATTATAGATGTAGTTTTGTACCTTGCTTTCGGTAGTACGTCTTCTTAAAGAGTGTTGGGCCTTGGCTGGTTTTGCTCAATGGTTAGAGTTTCAGCCTGCAGGCCAAAGGGTCTCAGGTTTGATCCCTGATCAAGTGCATGTACCTGGGTTACAGGTTTGATCCACAGCCCGGTCAGGGTGTGTGCATCCAGGAGGCAACCAATTGATGTTTCTCCCTCCCTCCCTCCCTCCCTCCTCTCTAAAAAAAAAAGTCAATGGAAAAAATATGCTCAGGTGAGGATTAACAAACAAACAAGAAAAAGCGTGGGGGTAATGGAACACCATTGCTCTGTGACGTCGGCAGAGGGCTGAGTCTCAGGAAGACATTGGGTTGCTTTGTGTTCCTGTAGTCGGTCGAGAGCATCAATGAACGTCTGCCTTTCCAGACCCCCCTTCCCACTAATTCCAGGAATGACGAGGGCATCGCATCGGCGCCTCACCTTTCTGGCGCAGTGCTGGCTGCGGTGGCCTTCCATGCTCTCTGGATGAGCTGTGTGGTTTCAGGCAAATTCTTAAACTTCAGTAATCCTCGCTGAGCTCGGCCTCCTGAAGGTGTCAGGGCTGCTGCCACTGAGCTCACAGCCTTGGAGAGGGAGGACAGCAGTGGTCCTGACAGCAGCAAGAAATGGCCCCTGCGGAACCCCTGCTCTGTGCGTGCACCAGGCCCTCAGCATTCCTTGCAACCCACTGGTTATGATTGTGCCATTTTGCCAGTGATGTGGTTGGCAAGGCCACACGGCTGGCAGGATGACAGCCAGGCAACTCATATCAAGTTTGGATCTGATCCATCCATCCATCCACCTAACGAGGTTTCTTTTTCTCTTGCTGCTGCTCTGACCTCCTGGTATTCTGACCCAAGACCCCCCTGAGGCCCCAACTCTGGCTGTTAAGGACAGTGAGACACAAGACCCTGAAATCTTCATACTTTGACGATTCTTTTGAAGGGAGGCTTGGACCCGCCCGAATGGGAAGTAGCCTGCTTTTAGTCACCTTGTTCTGGGAAGGAGTGTGGCGGTCTGTCCTCACCCCTGAGGTGTTTGTCCCTGCCACAGCGGAGAGGGTTAGTGAGCGCCCCGATTCTATGCTAAGATTCTGCGCCTGTCTCTTCTCAGTGGGACCTGGGCGGGGGGGTGGGGGTGGTGGGGGGGGGTAGGGGGGGTGGTGGGGGGGGGTGGTGGTGAGCTCTGTGTTCTGTTAGGAAGTAGCTTTAAATTAAGGCTGACAAAGTCGAAGTGAGAGAGTGGAAGGTAAAAATGGACGACCCCCCGCAGGGCTCATATCCTGTTGGAATCAGCCCCCGAGGAGCCAAGGAGGTTTTGATTAGGACAAGGGACCCAAGGGGCGGGGGCGGGGGCGGGGGAGGGAGGACAGGCATAGTGTTATGCAGGCCCCTTAGCTCTGTTGAGATTCGCTGTAGGATAAAGCTCGGTTAAACGATGTTTACCTCCAGTTGCAATTCATCCCTCATCGGGAGCATTTGCCAGTGTCGATCATTTCAAATTTATAGTCGGCGTCTCCGCTAACAAGGCCTGTGGGGTCCACGGCGTGGGGGCCGGGCTGGGCCCAAAGTCCCTTGTGGTCCCGGAGTTAGAGATTCTTTCTCCATTGAAGTTAGGAACAGGCTTTGGGGGATTAGCAGGTCTCCCCGAAGCCCAGTATCACAGACTTTTCCCATCTTTTCAGAACGATAAAGTTGGGTTTGAACCAGCTGTTTGAAACAAGAGTGAAAAAATTCTTTTAATAACAATCATGTTTGAAATGCGAAGAAGGATTTTTCTTCTCACATAAAATTGGTACATAGAGGATGTAAATTTAGCTAAGCTTTTTTGGGTTTGTGTGTATCTAGGTATTTGTATTCTGTTGGGATATTTTATTTACTTAATTAAAAATAAAAGAAATGCATGTACATGCTTAAAATACGTCAGCAGTGTGGAAAGATGCAAGTGAAAGCTAGATGTATTTCTCTTCACGTGTCACCCCAGAAACATTTTGTACACAGATGGGACTACTTTGTATATACGGGTCTTTACTGATTTATTAATTTTTAAAAATTTTTAAATTTTTATTGATTTCAAAGAGGAAGGGAGAGGGAGAGAGAGATAGAAACATCATTGATGAGAATCACTGGTTGGCTGTCTCCTGCACACTTCACACTGGGGATGAGCCCGCAACCCAGCCATGTGCCCTGACCGGGATTCGAACCGTGACCTCCCGGTTCATAGGTCGACGCTCAACCACTGAGCAACACCAGCCGGGCTGGTTTTAAACTTTGAAAGAAGATTGTTAGCAGGTAGGCCAGGGATATTGAAGGTCAGGGTCATTGAATTAAATAAACAAATACATTTACAGAGACTTAAGCAGGTTCATAGCAAAAGCAAAACAAAACATCGTTACTGGACTGGCCTTTGCTTTGGGGGGGTGGGCGTGGGGTGGGGGAGCAGCGTGACTGCGGCTTCCCCTGGCAGATTGGAAGCTAGCTCCCTTCACCATGGCTGGCTTGCTGCGACGTGATTACCACAGGGTGGAGTTTCCTGTTCTCGAAGAAGAACTTTCTAATGTGAATTCCGTTAATATCAGCAACAGAAGCCTATTAGGCCTCTGAGCACAGCACCCACCAGGGTTGTACAGACACAACCGTGACAGTGGGAACAGAAATGAGGACTAGTCCCTGTGGCCCGGATTTCAGAGGCCCTGGAAGGGGGTGGGATGGGGCGGGTTTGACCTCCAGGCTGACCCCCCCACCTTCAGGTGTGGCACTTCAGCTGCAGCGATGCCTGGGGTGCCAAGCTGGGGGTGGCTTCCTTGTGGCTTTTGCAGTCTCTTGGGGAAAGGAATGGGGACTCAGGGCGAACCCCGAGAAAATAGAGGTGCTGTTGGTGGCTGCTGCTACTAGGTTTCCTGGAAAAGCGACTCTTTATCTCCCACCCCCTCGATGAAAAAAATAACCATAATCATGAAACATCTCAGACATGCAGACAGTTATAGAGGGTAATGTAGTGCACACCATGTACTCACCACCAGGCTTAACGATGATAAAGCATTTCAGATGGATGCCTCTCGTGTGCCAACTTTGTCAGCTTCCCTCCCTCCTCAAGTCGACACTCTCCCCAAATCCACCCCCTTGTCTTTCCCTAAAGATCGTTTCATAGGAAGAAAGGAAGGAGGGTGCCTTTTCTTGTTTCTTTTGTAGACACCCTGACCTTGAACTTGGATGGAATAAAACGGCAGCTTGTTTGGCATTAAACCCGGCGCCTCCTATACTTGTTTCCTATCGCTGCTGTAGCAAATCGCTGCAAATCTGGAGTTCAAAACAACAGGGGTTTACTGTTACAGTCCTGTGGGTCAGGGGTCTGACACGGGTCTTGCCAGGCTATGATCAGGGTGCCCTCAGGGCTGCGTTCCTCCTGGTCCCAGGGACAGTCTGTGTCCTTGTGTGCCCAGCTCCGGAAGCTGCCCACCTTCCCAGGTCTGTGGCCCTTCCTCCGGCTTCAACGTCACCTGTGTCTGACCCTCCTCCTGTCCTCACATTTCTCTCTGGCCACAGCCAGGAAGATTCTCCCATTTCAGGGCCCTCAGTCTTAATCACATCTGCAAAGTCCATTTTGCCTCGTAAGGTGACAGTCACAGGTTCTGGGGATCAGGACGTGGGCATCGTTGGCGACTGTTAAACCTCCTACCACTCCTCCCATCAACTTCCTGATGGTGACTGTGTGTCGGGGTGGACGCCTGACAAATCATGCCTCCAGGGGTGCCCGGCCCACTGCTAGGGGCCCACCTTGCAGGTGCCCGCCTGGCCTGGCCTCTGTCCCTTCCTCGTCTGTGTGACTAGTGTTGTCAGCCTCGGCAGGACGGACATCTGGGGATAATTTTGTGTTGTGTTTGGCAGCATCCCTGGCCTCCACCCACTGGATGCCAGTAGCACACTCCCATCCCCCAGTTGTGACAACCAAACATGTCCCCAGACATTGAAATGCCCTTTGGGGGGCAGTATTGCCCAGTTGAGAACTGCTGTAAACACCCATCTGGGTGAGTATCCATGAGACCTAAACAGGAACCTGATGGTCAAACCACCCCGTCTGTCCTGATAATTGTTTGGCGTGGCACAGATTCTCCCAGAAGTGATCTGTGGTGGAGCGCTCTGTAGTCACTCCTAACCCTGTGCGTGCTCTGCCTGGGCTCTGGCATGGCCTGCCGTGGGGCCAGGAAGAGAAGGCGAGTCGTGCCTTTAGGGGCAGCTGTGAGTGCAGAGCCCCAGGGGCCCAGGGGAGCGGATGCCGTCACTGGGTTGGCACAGTCTTCCCAGGGACACAGTGGCTGCTTGCATTTCACCTGTCTGCCCCCCTTCCACCGTTGTGTTCCTGTGGTTGACCTCTGAACCAGGACGCTCAGCCGTGTCTGACCTTCGACCCCGTGTTACCTGCAGGTGGCCCTGGTACAGTGGACCGAAAGTGTGGGCTTAACCCTGGTGGGCCGAGACCAGTCTTCCATGCAGCTGAGGACCCCTGGCGACCAGATCCTGAACTTCACCATCTTGCAGATCTTCCCTTTCACCTACGAGAGCAAGCGCATGGGCATCATCGTGAGGGTGAGTCCTCTCTGCTTATGACGGGGATAGTTCAGAACCCCCAAGTGCACCGTGAATGTCCCCGTGGCTTGACCTTCTTCCGACCCCTTTTTATTATGTCCTCCGTTGCCCAAACTAACAAGGGAACGTGAGTCCCTAAGCAAGTGGTTCTCAACCTTCTGGCCCTTTAAATACAGTTCCTCATGTTGCTACCATAAGATTATTTTCGTTGCTACTTCATCACTGTAATGTTGCTACTGTTATGAATCGTCATGTAAATATCTGATATGCAGGATGGTCTTAGGCGACCCTTGTGAAAGGGTCGTTCGACCGCCAAAGGGGTCGCGACCCACAGGTTGAGAACCTGCCTAAGCAGAAAGAAAAGCCGTTCATTCATCAGACAGCTGGTCAGCTCCTTGTTAACCCCGTTCTAGAGCAGTGGTTCTCAACGTTGGCTGCACATTAGAATCACCTGGGAATCTTTAAAATCCTGATTTCTGGGCCTCATCCTCCCGAAATTCTGTTTCTTTGTTATGGGGTGGGGCCACACATTAGTAACAAAGAAACAGAATTTCCAGAGGATGAGGCCCAGAAATCAGGATTTTAAAGATTCCCAGGTGATTCTAATGTGCAGCCAACATTGAGAACCACTGGTCTGACCCAGTGGTCAGCAAACTGCGGCCCCTTGAGTGTGGCTCTTCCACAAAATACCACGTGCGGGCACGCATGTCCAGTGCGATTGAAACTTCGTGGCCACACTCAAGGGGCCAAAGAGCCGCATGTGGCTCGCAAACCGCAGTTTGCCAACCACTGGTCTAAGGGATATAGACTGGGCACCTCTTGGTAAGAACACACTTCCATTGTATGCTCTTCTGTTTAATTAAATGTATATCTTTTATTGAGGTGAAGTTCATATAACATGAATGAGCCATTTTAAATGTATAAGTCAGTGGCATTTAGAATATTCACAATGCTGTGCACCTTTTTGTCAAGTTTCAGAATGTTTTTATCATCCCAAAGCTAATTTGTAGCCCCTAAGCAGCCACTCCCTGTCTCTTCTTCCCCCTACTCGCTGGCAGTCACTAACCTTTCTGTCTTGATGGATTTACCTGTTCTGGGCATTTCATATATTAAGTGGAATCACAGAACATGTGGCCTTTTGTGTCTAGTTCCATTCACTTAGCATAATGTTCTCGAGGTTCATCCATGTCCAACAGGTATCAATACTTCATTCCTTTTTATGGCTGAATAATATTCCACATTGCTATCCATTCATCCATTGATGGGCAGTTGGGTTGTTTGCACCTTTTGGCTATTGTGTCTAATGCTGCCAGGACATGTATGTACAAGAATTACAATACCTGTTTTCAGTTCTTCAGGGTGGAATTGCTGGGTCATGCTCAGTCAGTTACTCAATTGCTGGGTAATTCTATTTTTAAACTTATGAAGAATGTCTAAACTCTTTCTGCAATGCTGCACAATTTTACATTCCAGCCAGCAGTATACGAAGGTTCCAGTTCTTCCGCATCCTCATCAGCACTTTTATTTTCCATGTTTTAAATTACAGCCATCCTAGTGGTTGTGAAGTGGCATTTCATTGTGGTTTTGATTTGTATTTCCCTAATGACTGATGGTGGGGAACATCTTCATATGCTTATTGGCCACTTGTATACCTTCCATGGAGAAATGTCTATTCAAGGACTTTGCCCACTTTTTAATTAGGTTGTTTGTCTTTTTGTTGTTTTATTGTATATGGTCTGGTTACTAGAGCTTTATCCAAGATATGGTATGCAAATGGTTTCTCTCATTCAATAGGTTGTCTTTTACTTTATTGATAAAATTCCTTTGACGCACAGAAGTTACTAATTTCAAAGAAGTCCAGCTTGTCAGTTTTTTCTTTTGTTGATCTTGACTGGGTATCATATCTAAGAGTTCATTGGTAAATCCAAGGACATGAATTTACTCCTATATTTCTTTCTAAGAGTGTTGTAGGTTTTGCTTTTTAGGCCATTGATCCCTTTGGGGTTAGTTTTTGTATATGGTGTGAGGTAGGGGTTCAACTTTATTCTGTTGCATGTGGAGCTCCAATTGCCCCGGCACCATTTATTGAAGACACTATTGTTTCCCCATTGAATAGTCTTGGCACCCTTGTTGTCATTAAATATTTTTAATGTGTTTTCATTTGTGCAGTTTCAATGGGTTTTTATTTGTGCAATCACATTATTGAAGAAATGTTTACTCAGCATCATTTGCCATATTTATTTTAGAACTTCTCTTTATCCTTTTGAAACTTTTATTGAACTAAGCATACACAGAGAAAAGCACAAACAGCTGAAATGTGTACACCTCAAGTGCTTACAAAGTTAACACTCCCATGCAGCCAGCCTCCAGAGCAAGGAACAGAAGCCCCCCACCATCACCCTTAGCTCCCTCGTGCCCCATTTCTGCTCACTACATCCCCCTCCCTACAAGGATATAACCACTGTCCCATTTCTGTCACTGATTAATTTTGTCTCTTGTTGAACTTTATGTAAAGGAAATTGTACAGTAGATACCCTTTTGAATTTGAGTTCATTTGCTCAAATTTTTATTTCTAAGATTCACCCATATTTTTGCATGGATTGTAGCTCAGAAATTTTCTTAAAGAAATAGAACATGCATTCAGTCGAAGTCTCCCCATCTGCCACTCCTAGAAGTGTCTCCTGCACCAAGTTCCTCATTCTTAGGAATTTTAAAATACTGTTATCAGACATGTTGAGTATAAATAATGTATATCAAGGAGTTACATATTTTTATTCTCTAAGAGGCATTGTAGTCTATGTATCATTTTTTGCACTTCCTGTTTTTTGTTTAACACTAACTAAACTTAATGCTAAATTTACACCCACTTCATTAAGCTTAGCTGATTTTTGGTACTGCATTTTGTGACTATACCCCTCTTCCTTCCGTCTTTTGCGGTTCTCTCTTGATAGACACTAGTTAGCTGCCACTAGCAAGAGCACAGCTCTGCGTAGCCTTGTCTGCTCCAGGCTCCATTGTACAGACGTCAGTTTCTCTATGCAGTTCTCCCAGAGGGAGAGTTGCTGGGTTGTAGAATATGCACATCTTTAACTCCGCCAGGCATCCTCGGCTCTTTCCCCAAAGGGCTGGCTCTAATCTCAGTCCCCCTCATGCCCCCCCACATTGGATAGTGTCAGACTTTTACAGTGTTGCCTGTCTGAGGAGTCGGAATGAGCATCTTGTCTGCCTACTTGCGCTTTTACTCCTAGAGACCACACTTTCCGTCCAGGGAAGCCTGGGAACCCTGGAGTCATAGGCCACTTTCTTCTTAAACCTGGCCGGCCACCAGCATGACCGGGGCGCTCAGTGTGTGCAGGTGACCTGGTGCCATCCCAGTCCTGCTTTGGCATTGGGCGGTTGCTGGTGTGTTTAAAGGTTCCGTGCACTATCTGGCATGGCTGGAGAAAACTCTGCCTCAGATCATGAGAATCTTTGGAATAAGAGTCTCATTTTTTTCTGGATTTAAAAAAAACACCCCACAAATGAGGATCTCTACCACCCTATCTACACAAGTCTTTCTTGCCCTAGGGATCCAAGTTGTAGATTCTATTACAGTCATTAGTAATAGTAGTATTAGGAATTGGGAATAGTAGTAATAGCCTGCAACCTGGGTATGTGCCCTGACCGGGAATTGAACTGTGACTTCCTGGTTCATAGGCCGATACTCAACCACTGAGCCATGCTGGCTGGGCCCAGCAGGTGCTTTTACACTCCATGGGGCGTGTGTCCTTGGCACTGGGGGCCTGGAGGGAGCTCCCCTCCCACAGACCTGCTGCTTTTCTCGCTGGTCTCAGCCTCTATGACCCAGGGCCTCCGCATCGGCAGCACACATCTGATGTCGGGAGCACCCATGGCCTCGGAGCCACAGCGTAAATCCTGGGGAATTAGAACCATTTTCTCCTGTGGAATCACTTTAACTTCGTTCCAGCCTTTATTTTTCCAAGTGTGAGGCCATGGGCTCTGCTAAAGTCATTTCAGGGTTGAATCATTAGGACTGGCCCCCCTATCAGCCATCCTAGAACGAGTGGGCAGCGTGCACCCGCCCTTCCTCTGTGGGAAGGGACTCTCATTCCCAGACACTTTGTTAGGTGTGGCCCCGTGTCTTCCCACAGCAAGAACAGGACTCATGCCTGGAAGTGGGATACTGTTGGGTGGGCAAATGCATCATCTGAAAACAGCACTCCCTCCTACCCAGGTTATAAAAAAGTCAGCATTCAGTTGACATTTGGAACAAATAATTATATCAAGAAGAAGATCAAAACTACTTGTCTTTATTTTCCCACCAAAGGCGGCTGCTGTAACCTTCTCGGAGAATTTCCCGTCAGTTGTTTCCAAGCGTATGAGTGTGCATATCTGTGACCATTTTTATAAAGTTGGCATTGAACTCCACAGGAGGCATCCTAAACTGCTCCTCTCCAGTGAGCTGTGCATGGTGAAAATGTTCTCCTATTGTTAAAACATGATTTTTAAACAGTATTTTTAATGTGTGCATGTGTTTTGTTGGAAAAAAGTGTACCATTATGTAATTGAATACATATATTTTTGGGTGCTTAGGTTGTTTTTCATTTCTCGCTGCTGAAGGTACATGTATGAGCGGCCATCTTGGGTTGGCTGTCTTGGACACGATGCGTATTATTTTGCTAATTTTTCTTGGTTTCTGACCTGTCTTCCTCTTTCTCTTTGCTTTTGATGGGTGGAAGTCAGCACCCAGGGCGTTTGGACCAGTTTTGCATTTTGCATGACTCTCACTCAGGTTCTCTTGCTGGGGCCACCTTGCCCGCAGGGGACGTCTGCAAGGACCGGAGACAGTGTTGGTTGTCACAGCTCCAAGGGTGGCATCTGGTGGTTGGAGGCCAGGACAGCCTCCTCACAAAGAATCCAGCGCCGCTGTTCACTGTGGCGGGCCCGGGAACTGAGTGCGAACGTGTCCATGTATCCTGTCTGTTATTTGAAAGTAACCGTCCATTACCTGATGTGACGACGTTTCAATCAGTGATAGAAGCTCTTGGTTTATTTTGTGACTGTTGAGTTAGGGTTTGCTCTCGCCTGGTTCATCAGCCCTCTCAAATGTGTGGGCTCCTGGGCAGGACGTGGTGGTACCGTCTGGCGCTCACAGAGCGAGGTCGGGTCTGCGTGAGTCTCTCTTCTCAGGAGGTGGGTACGGCTCAGAGGAACCAGCTTCTTCGGGGCTTGTGTGCTTGTCCTTTTGAAGGGACAAGCCTGCCCTGCTTTTCTTCTGCACAAGATGTTCCACTGCCTCCCCACGTGGAGAGATGCAGTCGGGCCGTTGGCATAGATCATCCCCTTGTCATTGTTTGAACAGAAGAGGCCTTTGAACAGGTGCCAGCACCAGACCACAGTGGAAAAAGATGAGGCCCCCAAACAATGCCACACACCCAGCAGATCTCTGTAGATTTATAGCGTCATCTTGCCATAATATGGGAACGAAGTAACCTGGTGATGAACTTGGTGGGAGGAAATGACTAAGGGGAGGAGACAGTCGACACAGTATTTACATTGGACGGGAGGCTGAGCTCTCTCGAGTCCCTGCTGGAGGAGAGGAAGCCGGGGAGGGCCTCATTTCCTACGGTTCTCTTGTTCAGCACCATTTGGGTGAAGGGGAAGGCAAAAAAAAACTCCGAGGCTTTCATGTTCAGACCCCACAGCTCTCCTTGGCCTGAGTCACCCGCGAGCTTGGGCGCGATCTGTCGGCGATAAGGCGCGCCGCCCGGAGCTTTCAGACGCAGGGGGCGCTGCGTGGAGGGTGGTGCTTTTCTGAGTAATCATGTTGTTCTAAAAAGATCCTCAGTGATTAGAGGGCTTTGAAAGTTATTTTAAAAGAGGAAGCTGTACCACTGATTTGGCGGTGTGTTCTTCCTTTGTATGAAGCGTTAACAGGCACGCATTCTGGGCGTCTGGGCAGTAGAATTTAGGCCCCAGGAGGCGTGGGGGGTTGGGGGGGTGGTGGGGTTGTGGTGGTGGTGATGGCCACGCTCAGTTCCCTTGCCCATCTCCCTGCCTCCAGCCTCCAGCCTCCCCATGATGGGCATCATCAAGGAAAGAGTCGTGTAAGGGGCAAGAACCAGCGATTTCCCCATCATCCCTCAGAACAAGCAGTCCTTAGCCTTGGCGCTGTGGGCGTTTGAGGCCGGGTGTTTCTTGGTTGTGAGTCTGTCCTGTGCACTGTAGGATGTTCAGCAGCCTCCCTGGTCTGTACCCACTAGGCTCCAGCAGCACGCCCTCTGCCCCCCACTCTGACAACCAAAAATGTCTCCAGACATTGCCCCATGTCTCTGGGCAGGGGTGGGTGGGGGGAATTACCCCCATTGAGGACCTCTGTGCTGATAAGCCTCCTTCTCCACATACAGAGTGACTGAGGGCTATAGAGTTACTGCCACTCAACAGAAAGGGGTGCGGGGGGGGGGCATTTCCTGTGTGTCTGGCCCTTTGCTACGTGCTCTGCGTAGTTGGTCTCGTTTAAGCCACACTCACCTCTGCAGTAAGAGTTGTTAGGGTCCCTATTTTACAGGTGAGGAAACCGACGTTTAGAGAAAAGATGTAGCTTGTCCCGTGGGGGATCGGCTGGGGCTGGTACCAGGTTCGAGCATTTGATGGCTGTACAGTGGGTTACCCACTCCCCAGAAGGCCTGGCCAGGTGAACTGAAACTCCCTAGCCCAGTGCTCAGCTACACGTCGGGGGTGGAGGGGGTGGCATCATCTAGGTCAGTGGTTTTCAGTAGAGGTTTTGCCTCCTAGGGAACATGTGTTCATGTCTGGAGACATTTTGTGGGTCTCCCTGGGGTGCTGCTGGTGTCTGGCGGTGGAGGGCCAGGGATGCTGCCGGAGACCCTGCCCGCACTGCAGAGAGTTCTCCAGGCGTGTGTCGTGGTGCCAGGGCTGAGCAGCCCTGGTCCAGGGGATTATCTCTGGTCTGCGGGGTGGGGGTGGGGGTGGGGGCGCCGTGGTGACACTGGCAGGCCAGTGTGTAAACGGAGTTATCTTACAGCGTGGGAGCTGTTCCTGCTGGAATGGTAGTTACTTAGAAAAAACACAAACAAAGTTCTTACATCCTTTTGATCTTGCTTTCATCATTTAATAATTTTTCAAATGCTCTGAGTTTTCTGCTATTTTCTGTGGCCTTTGCCCCAAAGCGAGGCCCCCTCTGGCTTTTTATCTCTGGCCAAGTGGAAAACATGGGCGTCTGCTGAGCACACGGGGCGCACCAGCTGTCAGGGGAAGCGGGCACTGGAGCCGGCGGGCGTTCCTCCCGCTCACTCCTGCCTTCCGGCCCCTCTAGGATGAATCAACAGGGGAAATTACCTTCTACATCAAGGGAGCCGACGTCGTCATGGCTGGCATCGTGCAGTACAACGACTGGCTGGAGGAAGAGGTGAGCGTGATGTGGGCGTGGGAACGGCCTTGCCGGCACCTCTGGAGGCCTGCCCTCACAGGGGGCTAGGAGGGGGGGGGTCTCTGTATTCGTTCTCCACGTAGCACATCACCCCAAAATGCTGCAGCTTCGCATAACACGTTCAGTTCTCGCCGTTTCTATGGGTCAAGAATGCGGGCACGGCTTGGCTGGGTCCTCCACCGGGTCTCTCACAGGCTGCAGTCAAGGGGTCGCCTGGGGCTGGGGTCTCATCTGAAGCCTCAGCCGGGGCAGGACCCTGTCCAGACTCAGTGGTCATGGGCAGGAGTCTGCTCTTTGGTGGCTGTTGGCCGGAGGCTGCCACGTTCCTCGCCACGTGGACCTTTCCGTGGGACAGCTCCCAACTCGCAGCTGGCGTTGTCAGCGGGGGAAGTGAGGGAGCAGGACGGGGCGGGGAGAGGACGTCACCTGCCCTCGGTAGGGACCTCCCCTCACTTCGCCACACTCTTTGCCAGGAACAGGCCATTGGGTCCAGCACACACTCATGGGAAGTGACTATAAAGGGTGTGGATATTGCATCTTCGATTGGGTGGTTCGCAAGCACAAATGCCCACAGGGCCAGGCGGGTAACACAAACGGAACTGGCCGGGCCATGTTTTCCTGCCAGGGTCACGTTTTGTGTGTGAAAGGCACGGGCATGGTGTCAGCTCAACACCTGCTTTCCAGCAGCCCACGGAAGCGGCTGCATGTCACCGTCAGCTGCTGCGGTTACTTGGGAACACGTGCTCAGTGTGTCAGAGGTTCCATTTTCCCAACAAGCCGGAAATCCAGACTTTCCTGTGCAGTGTTACACCCTTGACTTAAATTTCGGAACAAACGGTGCCCATCACAGAAACTGCAGGTCGTGTGGCCTGTGGGTCATGCCATGACCTCCCCTTAGAAGGTTCACTCAGGGACACGGCTTTGGGGAAGGCAGGGTCTGGTGGCGGTGCGCTGTCCCCACGGGAGGGGCCTGTCCCCTTCAGCGCCTGGCCCTCCTCAGCGAGCGTCAGGGCCCAGGGCAGAGCCTCAGTGCAGCCCCGCTGACCGCCCTCTGCTTCACAGTGTGGGAACATGGCCCGAGAGGGGCTGCGGGTGCTCGTGGTGGCGAAGAAGTCTCTAGCCGAGGAGCAGTATCAGGACTTCGAGGTGAGTGGTCCTGTGACGGCTGGTTATTATCAGCCCTGCCCACCTGCCGGTCACATCTCCTCCCAGCTGCCCCTCGCTCCTCCTGCTCTTGCCATCCTCCTGTCACTTCCGAGCACAGTCAGGTTCACTCCTGTCCCCGGCCTTCGCACTTGCTCTCTGAGTGCACAGAACTCTCTTTCCGCCTGTTGCTCCGTGGCCCACGCCCTCACTTCCTTTGGCTCTCAGCTCAAATGCCGCCGCCTCTGAGAAGTCCTCCTGGACTCCCCATCTAGAGCAGCCCCACCTTAACACTCTCCACCCTTCACCCCATTGAACTTTCTTCATTGCACTTAACAACATCTAGAATGACCATATACATAAACATTAACATATCTTTTCTGGAATAGAGTCTTTTTGAGAGCACTTTGCTACTCTGCTTGGCTCTTATATCCCCAACGTTTAGGCTAGTCATCGGCACATAGCACACCTCCTGGAAAATTTGGAATGAGGCCCTAGTTTTTTAAAGTAAAAAATATTAATGTTGAACCAGATCATTGACTTGCACAGCCAAGGGTTCCAGCATAAATATGTCATCTTGTCCCGTAGACTGTCTGTCCCTAGAAGGGAAGTGTCTTTGTTAGGTCCCCAGTCCTGGCATAAAGCCAAGCGCGCACATGCATGCAAGACGGGAAGGGAGGGGTGAGGCTGGGGACAGGCCCTGGGCCCTTGTCCTGTTCCACCCAGAGAAGCTGTGCTTGTCTGTCTCTTTTATGTGTGAGTTCTTCGTACAGTTTTAATTAACAAGAGGCCTAGCCCTGATCAAGTCCACCTTCCTTTCCATTTTAAAGGCATCAGTTTGGAGTCGGCCCATGAGGGGCCTTTGATTTTCCTCTAGGTCTTTGCCAGCACTGGAAAGAGGGGAGAAACAGAAGGGTTGGGTCGATGGTCTTCTGAAGTGGGACTTCGTCAAGGATGCTTGGTTACAAAGTGTGCTTTGTGCCGGAGAACCTACTGCTTTTCTGAGCTCTTGAGTTGTGCCAATCCTTGCAACAACCCAGTGAGGTTGGGGCTGTTATTGCTGCTTCTGGGTGAAAGCAGTAGAGGCTCAGAGAAGTTAAGCAACTTGCTGGAAGTTGCACAGCAGGTGGGTGTAGAGCCAAGGGTGGAACTCAGGTCTGTCCATTCCCGTGTCTGGACTGTGGACTTGGGAGGGACCGAAGCCTCCGTGTCATCCCTCTGGGGGCTGCACCAGGTGCTGCGGTGGGATCAGCATGCCGTCCCACTGGGCGTTGGACAACCCTGCGCCTCCCCACCCTAAGCGTGTCCCCTGCTGTGTCCCAGGCTCGCTACGTGCAGGCCAAGCTGAGCGTGCACGACCGCTCCCTCAAAGTGGCCACGGTGATCGAGAGCCTGGAGATGGAGATGGAGCTGCTGTGCCTGACGGGGGTGGAGGACCAGCTGCAGGCGGACGTCAGGCCCACGCTGGAGACGCTGCGGAACGCTGGCATCAAGGTGGGCGGCCTCTGCGGCCTGGCTGCTGAGCGACCCCCCGGGGAATGGGCTCCGGAATTGTACAGCTGTCCCTTGAGCGGAGTGCGAAGGTAGGGGAAGGGAGAGGGGGGGACGTGTGACAGAGGGAGCCAGGCGTGCAGGGACTCCAGCCCCGTCTCAGGTGGGCCTCTCATCACCTCCCGCCCCGGCAGCCCTGCGCGTTTGCTTTCCTGGCTGGCCTTCCTGACCGGGCCGGGCTCCACGCAGGCAGGACCGCCCGCGGCTCCTCATCCCTCCGTGCCAAGTGTGTCCACTATACCCCTGTGAGTGGCCAGCCAGCCAGCCGTCTGTCGGTGCGTCTGGGTGGATGGGTAACCACCCAACAGAGTGACCGCCTGCCCCAGCAACTGCTACGTTTACGTTTTGTACTCTACTCTTTGGGGCCCCCAAATGTCCAGTAGTTGGATCAGGAGAGGCCAGTAGAGGGCGTCTGAGGAGCCTGCAAAGGATCAGCGAACTTCCTGGCTCAGCGCCCCTGAGAACACGTATGTTTGCCACCCGCCTCCGCCCCAAAGCAGCTCTGGGCTGCGTCCTCGGGCCTGCATGCGGCAGAAGCGCGTGTGAGCTGGGCCATGCGAGCTTGTGGATTAAGACCAGCCACAGGGGTGCTCCAGCCACGTTCGTGCCCGTCGGGGGCTCCCGTGTGTGCGAGCGTGGATTTTTGTAAACCAAACGCTGTCACGTACCTTTGGCTCATAGGAAACTGACAGATCCCAATTTTGAAAAAAACGGGCTGAAGTCAGAGGGCTCGTTTCTACTGAGTTGTGGTGTTTAAACTTTGTCCCTGGGCCATTTCCAGGACCTCCCTATTGGGACCTCGCAGTGCGGCTTTGGGGCAAGTCACCTCTCTGCCCCCACAGCAGTGAGGGACCTGTTCCGAGGCTGGAACCTGGAGGTCCAGCACCAGTGCTTTATAGTCAGGGTTAACCCCACGGGATTCCTGACCGGCGTCCGACCAGGCAGAAAGACCATGTGTCCGAGACAAGTCCGTGTTTCCTGTGGGACCCGGAAGTGACCCCTCACCCATGCAGGCTCCCCTTGCTTAGAGATCAGTTATGACTTTAAGAAGAATTCCCAGAAGAGGGGTTGTGAGGCCAGAGGCCGGGCTTTGCGATATCCCCTGAAGCGTGTGGCCCAGCGTCTGCTGCCACCAGGGGTGGTTGCGCCGCGTCCTGACGGCCTTGAACGGGGCGTTTCCTGCCACCTCGAGGAGGTAAACGGGACACACTAAGTTCAGCTCGATGTTCCGGGAAACTCGGCCGACGCAGGTGACAGGCCGCCTCTAACAACACTAACCGCGGGGACCTCTTTCATGCGGTGATTCCAGGTTTGGATGCTGACGGGGGACAAGCTGGAGACAGCCACATGCACAGCGAAGAACGCGCATCTGGTGACCAGAAACCAAGACATCCACGTGTTTCGGCTGGTAAAGTGTTCTCTGCGGGGGGCCTCCTGGGGGTGTGGCTGCAGTTTGCCTGTAACCTCGTGACCTCATAACCTCGTGACCTCATAACCTCGAGGGGGCCCCGAGAGGGGAGCACGTTAACCTGCTGGGCGCGGGCTTCCACGGTCGGTTTGGGAGGAATCACTGATGAACCAGTGAGGCCGGAGGCTCCTTCCGGTGGTGTCTCCGGAGCACCCCGTCCCATCCTGGCTGTGTGGACACGTGGCCTTAACCTGGTGGGGTCGTGGGCCCTTTGAGAGGCTGCTGGAAGTGAGGCAGGTGGCGTGAAGGATGCAGATAAGCACATGCATGTGGAATTGTACCTAGGAGTCCAGGGTTTCACCAAGTCCTTGAAGGCCAGTCCTGGGGTAAGAAATAACGTCCAGATCACAAGTATTGGCCTGAAGGAACACCTGGGAGCCTGTAGAAGAAGGTGTGTTGGGTGGGCACGGGAGAAGTGGCCCCAAACAAGCAGGCATTAGGCGCCCCGAGGCTGGAGGCTGGAGGCCAGGGGCTGTGCCTGGCCTTACTGAGCTGAGGTGAGGAGCAGGCCCCTCTGGGGCAGGGTCCCACTCCTCTGAAACCGGAGCCACCATTCCAACAGCTGCAGGGACCTAGGTGTTTGGGGGTCTCCCTCTCACCCCGGCCTGTGGTCCGTAGCACGTAGAAGCTCCAAGAAGGCCAGCTGTTTGGGGAACAGCACGCAGTGTTGCTTAGAGGCAGATGCGGTGGATCCTCATTGTTCACAGGATCTGCTGACAAACCCGCCTACTCGCTAAAATCCATCTGTGACCCGAAAGGTAGGGGTCAGGTGCGCGTGGTGCCGTCCGAGTCGTGCCCGTCCGCGGAGGACGAACAGGGTGGGTCCGCCGTCTCGTTTCAGCGCTCACGCTGCACACAGTGTCCTTTTCACGGTCCATGTCGGGCCACTGTTTTGCATTTTTGTGCTTTTTGTTAGCGATTTCACTGTGTGAAACGGCCTCAGCACAGTGGCGAGGGATGGCCGCTGTTCCGAAGCACAGGCGGGCTGTATGTGCTTCACGGAGGAAATGCGTGGCTTAGCTAAGCCTCTCCTAGGCCCGCGTCCAATGCTGCTGGCCATGAGCTCAGTGTTAAGGGATCAACAAATATGTCCTCAAAAAAGACATTTAAGCAGTAGCACACATAGCACGAGGTTATGCACTGATCCGGTGGCAAGAGATACCGTGAGCGGAGGCTGGCAGGAGCCATGCCTGTGCTTGCTGGGGCCTGGCCCGTGTTGCTGACTCAGCGTTCAGGGCGGGGCCGTACAGAGCGTAACTCTCACAGCGCATGAGAATCCACTGCACGGCCTAGAATTCAGGGCCCGCAGACCGTGGCTCTCGTGCTAGCTCCCTGTTCTGGGAAACAGTTTTACCTAAACGGAGATACACCCGTTGTTTACATAACTGTCGGAGGCTGCTTCGTGGCCCACGGAGCCCACAGGAGTTCACATCTGGTCCTGCATGGAAAGCCGGCCTCCCCTGCCGGGTGCCCGCACGCGGCGTTCTCGCTGTGTGTTTCAGGCAGGCTGACACACATGCCCTGCTTCACTTTCCTTACATGTAAGGGAGCGTGGCGTCCTGTGAGAAATGCATGGGGAAACACGGGAGTGCAGGGCAGGCCTGGCACAGGAGGAACCTGCAGTCCTTCTTGTTCTTGTTTTATTTTTTTACGTGGTCACAGCCGTCCTGGGGAAATGCAAGGTGACAGACAGGCTCTCCGGTCCCCACAGAATCATCACAAACAGGATTTAATTTGGCTCTGGGTCCGGTGGCAGGAGAGGGGCAGGGGTCCTTGGCCAAGTGGCCATTGTCTTCATGTGGCTCCAGGAAGCCACTGTTTGTTGTTCTGCGGTCTCCAAAGAGCGAGGCCGCCTCACCCCTCGTTCCCTTCCAGGTGACCAACCGCGGCGAGGCCCACCTCGAGCTGAACGCCTTCCGCAGGAAACACGACTGTGCCCTGGTCATCTCTGGAGACTCCCTGGAGGTAGGACCGCCTGGTGCCCCTTCCTGCTGCTGTGAGGGAAGTGACCTTGCTGACCCCTCCTCCCTCCCCAACAGATCTGCCTCAAGTACTACGAGTACGAGTTCATGGAGCTGGCCTGCCAGTGCCCGGCCGTGGTCTGCTGTCGCTGCGCCCCTACACAGAAGGCCCAGATCGTGCGTCTGCTGCAGGAGCGCACTGGGAAGCTCACCTGTGCAGTAGGTAGGCTAGTCACCTGGGCAGTAGGTAGGCTAGTCACCTGGGCAGTAGGTAGGCTAGTCACCTGGGCAGTAGGTAGGCTAGTCACCTGTGCAGTAGGTAGGCTAGTCACCTGGGCAGTAGGTAGGCTAGTCACCTGGGCAGTAGGTAGGCTAGTCACCTGGGCAGTAGGTAGGCTAGTCACCTGGGCAGTAGGTAGGCTAGTCACCTGGGCAGTAGGTAGGGAAGTTACCTGGGCAGTAGGTAGGCTAGTTCACCTGGGCGGTAGTAGGCTAGCTCACCTGGGCGGTAGGTAGGGTAGCTCACCTGGGCGGTAGGTAGGGTAGCTCACCTGGGCGGTAGGTAGGGGAGCTCACCTGGGCGGTAGTAGGCTAGCTCACCTGGGCGGTAGGTAGGGTAGCTCACCTGGGCGGGAGTAGGGTAGCTCACCTGGGTGGTAGGTAGGCTAGTTACCTGGGCGGTAGGTAGGGTAGCTCACCTGGGCGGTAGGTAGGGTAGTTCACCTGGGCGGTAGTAGGGTAGCTCACCTGGGCGGTAGGTAGGGTAGCTCACCTGGGCGGTAGGTAGGGGAGCTCACCTGGGCGGTAGGTAGGGGAGCTCACCTGGGCGGTAGGTAGGGGAGCCCACCTGGGCGGTAGGTAGGGTAGCTCACCTGGGCGGTAGGTAGGGGAGCCCACCTGGGCGGGTAGGCTGCAGCTTGAGCCTGTCCCGCTGTTCTGCTGGGTCCATTTTCTGGCGGGGTAATTGGGTCCTGCGGCTGTGTTCTGCACACCCCCAGGCCACCTTGCTTGGGTCTTGATGTTTTCCTCTATGGACTTGGTTCTATGTTGTTATAATTGTGATTTTGCTCTTTCCCTTTGAGAAAGAGGAGATAGGTGTGCCTGAGGGCTTCGCTCCTTAGCTGGCACTTTCTTCGCCAGCGACCTGGGGCGCAGCATTGCTGAGGGGTGAAGACCACACAGGGCGCTGGATCTGGGTCCCGCGCTAAGCGGGTGTTTGCTGGCTGGGTGCCCGGTGGCTCCCTTCAGCCGCTGAGCCTGTCTGCTCATGGTCAGTGGGAGAGCTACAGCGCTCTTCTCCAGTGGAGCTGACGAGATCCGATGGGGTAACTTTAAAAAGTACTTGCCACAACAGCCCCCGTCAGAGGCAGGCCGGTGGTGGTCGTAAACGGGGGGGGGGGGGGGGGGGGGGGTTGAACACAGGCCCCCTGCTGCTGCGGAGTGGCAGGGACCTTCAGCCAGTCACCGGTCCCTCTGACGCCCGCCGTCAAACAGGAACCCCGTGCCTCAGGTTGTTGGTGTGGTTACGGGAAGTAACCAAGTTTCTTGCCTCTCGCAGCTTCTGATTGTTTCTCCGGTCCGTGTGCCCATAGGTGACGGCGGCAATGACGTCAGCATGATTCAGGAGTCTGACTGCGGCGTGGGCGTCGAGGGGAAGGTGAGCGGGTGCCAGGTGCCGGGTGCCGGGTGGCAGTGCCGGGTGGCGTGGAGTTCTCTCTCCTCCGAGGCACAGCGTCAGTGCTTCTGGGAATCGCACATTAGGAATGCGCTGTAAGGAACCCTGCATCCTGACGACCCCGCCTTACCCCCTGGGGTCAGAATTCGGATCACTGCATCCTGCAGACAAATGCTGATTTTTTGCTTGTGAAAACCTAAGTTAAAAAAAGAAGGTTTTTGCCATAATACTAGGGTACGCTGGATGTGCTTCCGACTTTTCCCTGGGGTGGTGGTGACAGTTGGAGCCCGAGTTGTCACACTGTGTGTGCAATGTGGGAGAACAGGGCGTGGCGGGCGCGTTGCTAGAAGGCCTGGGGCCTGCAGTTCCTTCGAGTGTTTGTTACAACAGTTTTCCACCTCTTTCCTTGTCAGCTGTGTGCTGCCTCCCGTAGTCTGCTCTGCCCTCTCTAATTTGTGCCGCTCAGTGACTCTCCGCAAGAATAGTGGCCACCAGCTGCCAGAACGGGGTGCAAAATACGGCCCTGGGTGCGGGCCGGGGGCTCCCCTTACATTTTGGTCCGTGTCCTCATGAATTTGGCTCATCCTTTTCTTCCTTTTTCACCCTTTCTGGTTAAGGGACCGCGAATGAAATGTTACGTTTGAACTCTGTACGGACTCCTTTGTTGCAGGTTTTAGGAAGACACTTGAGTTTAATAGATAGAATTCTTTACAGGTGTCTATGTGGAGCCAAAACATTTCCCCTAAAAATTATACTCTGATACCTCTGTTTTTGGAGAATGAAAGGAAGAAATGGTCACTGTAAAAAATTAGAACAACTTAGAAATGGATGAAGTGTCTTTTAGATAGCCTCATCTAAGTGGTAACATTGCTTATTATTCAGAACTTTTGTCTATGTGTATATTGCTGGTTATGAATATGTATGTATGCATATATTGTATACACATACGTACGTTCAGGCATATGCATATCTTACACATGCATGTATATTATTTTCAGGTATAGTTTTAAATTAGAAACATTATGCATTTAAAAAAAATACCTACAGTGGGGCCTTGACTTACGAGTTTCCTGACTAACGAGTTTTTCGAGATACGAGCCATCTCTCGGCCGATTTTTTGCTTTGAGTTGCGAGCTAAAATTCGGGTTACGAGCCAGCTTCAGATACCCCACCGCTAGTTGGCGCAGTGAACGTCACAGTGAACGCCACAACATCAGCCCAGCATCACGTGTTTCACTCGTTCACTTTTTGATTTGACATACGAGTAATTTGAGTTACGAGCTCCGTCACAGAATGAATTAAACTTGTAAGTCAAGGCCCCACTGTATTTTTATTGATTCAGAGAGGAAGGGAGAGGGAGAGAGAGAGAGATAGAAACATCAATGAAGAGAGAGATTCATTGGTCGGCTGTCTCCTGTATGCCCTACACTGGAGATCAAGTCTGCAACCCGGGCATGTGCCCTGACCGGGAATCGAACCGTGACCTCCTGGCTCATAGGTCGATGCTCAACCACTGAGCTACGCTTGGCTGAGCAACATTATGCATTTTTAATGCAACTTGATGACATCTGTTATCTTGGATTTGTTTCTACATCAGAACATGTAGATCCGTCCTTTTTTTACCTTCCCTCAAACTTTTTATTTTGAAGATGTCACTCCTTCAGAAAAGTTGAAATAGAGCAGTGAGTACCTATCTATTCTTCACTTCAGTTGACCAGTTGTTAACATTTGCCTCATTCTCTCTCTCCTCCCCCAGCCCCCAAATCAGTGGAAAGTCAGTTGCCGAGATAATGTGTTACCCCTAACTACTTTAGCATGGACCTCTTAAGAAAAAGAAGATTATGTTACGTACTCAAAATAACATTATATGCCCCCCCCCCCGAATGCCATGTTGAGATGACATTATATAATTTTCATAGTTCATTCTCCTCTGTCATCCTCAAAATGTTTAATGAAAGTATCTCCAGGAACCAACGAAGGGACAGTTGTGGGTTCTCCCCGCTACCTGTGGGTGAGGTTGATTTGATTCACATTCTGTGTTTTTGGTGTGAGTAGCACCTAAGGGGAATTTGCATCCCCTGTTGCATCCAATCAGTTTGTCCCACAAGTGGCATCCGTCATGGACCTTTTAAAATGATAAAATTCCACAAATGGTTGCACTGTAAATTATTTCCGCTTCTATAAATGTGCATAGCTGCTGTGTATGTTCAGGAATGTTCCATTTAATATTGTTAGTAGCATCTGATCCCCCCCCCCCCCCCATTTTTAACTCTTAAGGGAACCGAGCGTTATAAAGTGCCTGTCTTTGAGCGATTTTTTGCTTCTGATGCGCATTACGGCGTGGGCCTTACCCCCAAGGCTTAATGCTACATCCATTTGACCTCCAAATTATAACTATCTGTGATTTGGAATGTTTTTTGTTTAAATAAATTCCTCTTTTTAAATCAAATTTAGACTTGGACCACCAACTGTGTAGAGCTTGAAACCAAAGAATCTCTTTATTGAAGTTCTCGGGAGATCTCCTTACAGTGTCTTGCTTTTTCAATTAAAGCAAATGTGTTCGCTTTGACCTCTTGTGCATCTGACGGTGCCCAATGTCATCGGATTTCAGGAAGGAAAACAGGCCTCGCTGGCTGCAGACTTCTCCATCACTCAGTTCAGGCACCTCGGCCGCTTGCTCATGGTGCACGGCCGCAACAGCTACAAGCGCTCGGCCGCCCTCAGCCAGTTCGTGATCCACAGGAGCCTGTGCATCAGCACCATGCAGGTGGGTGGCCGCCGCCCCTCCGCGCAGGCGCGCGTGGCTGTCCTGGAGAGAGCGGGGACCCAGGCTGTGCCTTGGAGCTGCTACCCCCTCCAGGCCACGTGGCAGCTGATAGAACTCGGATTGCCCGGATCCTTCCTGTTAGGCAGCGAAGGCCATTCTTGGGGTGTCGTATAGACTGGAGTTGTTATAACTGGTTTGCTGGAAGGAAAAATGCTGTTAAATGGTAAGCGGGTACTGAGTTTTCCACATGCAGAAATAAGGGCCAGTCGAGAATAACTTGCTGTCTGTAGCGCTACCTACACACCGGGCATCGGGCTGTGTTCACAAGGCAGTGTCTCACTCAGTCCTCACAGTAGCGCCCATTTCACAGATGGGGAGCCTGAGGCTCGGGGTGGCGGGGGAGTTTGTGTCGTGTCCCTCAGGGTTAGTGTGCTCAGACAGGGGACTCCAAGCCTGCGCTCTTAATCAAGGTCTCCGCCTCGGTGCCCTCCATACGTAAGGGCTATAGCAGTTAACTGTGTACTAGGGAGAAGGCCAAAGGGCAGGAAAGAAAACATTTTGGGTGTTGAAAACTGTCTACTGATTTTCCTCCGTGGGCATTTAGGTGAAAATACTCCCAGTTAAGTGGGGAGAACATGGGGATGATATATCCCAGAACCCATGGTTTTTGTTCTGACCAAGCCACTAAGTATAGCAGGTCCTCAAATAATGTCGATTTGTTTAAGATAATTTCATTATAACATTGGTGACATGTTCTTTTAAAAATCAATTAGCCTATGGTAAACATTGTTTTCATTATACATCGTGTTGCTTAAAGTCACAGAACCTATCCATGGTGTTAAGTGAGGACTTACTCTATTTATGATACCTTGAGCAAGCCACTTCACCACTCTGGGCCTCAGTCTTTCCACCTGTAAAATGGGGACGGTAAGATCTGCCTTGTCTCTCAGACAGGGCTCCTTTGAAAAGTAGAGCATTTTATAAGGGACCAAGTGCTAAAGGCATCCTTACCATTATTAATAAAACAAAAGAGGATGATGTGTAAAATAAGAGGACATTTAAATTTGTAGGAAAGGTGATTTATCATACATGAAAGGCACAAGGCGTCCTGCCTTTCCGAGCGACTCGGGTGGTGCTGCTCTGTGTTGATGAGAATTCGCCCGTCACCGGCCTCCTCCGTGCATGCCTTTCGGGGTGAATGTATGTTTTTAATATCTGTGCACTTATGAGTGTAGGAGCCTTAAAGTGATTTTCATCAACATGCTCTAAACCCAAACAGCTGGTACGGTTCATCAGACCGCATCTGTACTTTTAACTTATGCTCGCTCCTCAATTGAACTGGATAGGACGGTGGTTTTAATCACCGGGAGATCAGTCAGCCCGTCCCCGGGCAGGCACACAAAGCGGGCCTGGGTGAGCTCACTTCTGTAAGGCTCGCATGCCACCATGAACATGGCTTCAGAAAACATGGTCGCTGGGAATCGTTCTCTGTGCTAGGAGAGTGCCCTTGACCCTGTCCACCGTGCTGACAGTGGGCCAGTCCGTGTTAGAACTGGCCCTGGACGGGGGTCTCTTTGATAGAGGTGTGGCGTCTTGTGTCCCCCCTCCGCTCCCCCTCCCCAAGTGCTCTTTTCAAGATGAGGTATTTGTGGTCAGCTCGGGGCTTTTGGAGAAAGAGGCTCCCCGTGGTGATCTGCAAAACGAAACACCAGATTTTTGACATTTTTACAACCATCCTTTCTCTGCAATAGCCCAGCCTGGGTGAGAAGCTCCTTGAAAAGTGGCTTTCACCTTTCAATTCTGAAATCACGACCAGGGTGGCACCAGGGCTTCCTGCCAATGACCGTGGCCTTAGGTGACCCCGTGTCCTGAGCTGTGCCAGGTGAACAGGCATGGCAGCGGCTGCGGGGAGGTGTCTGGGGTTAGACCTCTTCCTGGTCACGAGGCTGGCTCAGCCTTTCTCCCCTGTCCGTCCTTGGAAAGCCTTAGGGAGCAGCTGTCCCTGCTTCCTTTGGTTTTATACTCAGGGGAGTGAGCTTCGCGGCCACTTTCCTTCCGTGAGCCCCTAGAAGTCCAGAGAAGGAGGTCACAGCATCAGGCCTGCTTTGAGCTCTCTGGTTTATTTCTTCACCGCCCGTAGCTAATAGTTTCCAAACGAGGAAGCAGAAGTTTCGGGAAGGGGTCATAAATATCTTTATTCCTCTTGTCTAATTGCAATTCGTAAAATTTTCAAAAATAATAAGACCTATAGTGTAAGAAGTAAAGCCTTCTCTCCAACCGCACCCTCCAGGGTAATTGCTTGTGTCCTCCTGTCAGAGGCTGTGTTTCCATATCAGTTCCCACACATATGCCCACTTGTGATGGCTGCACATCCAGGGAGGCGGTGATGCTGAGCTCTTAGGAGCGTGGGCTCTGAGACAGGTGGGCTAGAGTCCCGAAGTGCCATTTACCTGCCCAGTTTCCCCGCCTGTAATATTCAGGTGACGTTAGGACTCGACCTCATGAGCAGTTCTGGAGAGTCACTGAGCCCATCTATACAGTGTTCCAGCTCATGTTCACACAGGGGCTGAGAGTGGACTCTGGAGCTAACAGACTCCTTGGGTATGATTCCTGGCTCTGTCACTTATGAGCTGTGTGATCTCGGGCAAGTCACTTAACCTCTCTGTGCCTTCTCTCATTGGTAATATGGGGATGATGATCACAGTACCTACTCCATAGGGTTGAGTGAGCATTAAGCAAGCTAATACACTTAAAGCACTTATGACTGTTGGTGTGAAGTAAGTGCTTTGTAAGAGTTGGGTGCTGTTTTTATAAACGTAAACATCAGGGCTTTGGCGATGGTTTTGCTAACGTCCTCTTTCTCCTTGCACAGGCTGTCTTCTCCTCTGTGTTTTACTTTGCCTCCGTCCCTCTGTACCAAGGATTCCTCATCATTGGGTAAGGAAATCCAGGCAAGCTATTAATTTTTTATGAAAGCACCCTGAAATGCCACAAAAGAAAGAAGGAACATTATATAAAGAAGCATTATACAAAGTCCCCAAGTGGCCAGCCAAGCCAGGTCCAGCAATGCAGGTTAGACTTTTTTGGAATTACTGAGTTTTTGAACTGCTGAGCCCGTAACCAGGCCGAGGAGGTTGTGTCCGGTCGGCTTGTGTCCGTGGCACTTGGCCATTTGTACCTGGGGAGGGAAAACCGCCGGCCCGCGAGACCCAAGGTTATTGGCTGATTGGCCACCAAAGCAAGAGTGAAGGCTCGCAGACCAGCGATTCCATGGGGGTCTTAGGAAAGAGAAAAGCGGGGTCTGCGCAGCACCCCCCTATGCGGCTGACCCCAGTGGGACGGCCCGCTGTTGGGCGTGCAAGGCGGGCGAGTCTTGGCGGACCCCTGCTGCCTCTGACCCATTAGACAGGGTGTCCCTTAGACATTTGCTGCCACCAACTCACCCCCACTCCTCACCTGGATTCATGACGTCCCTTTTGACCTTTTCAGAGGGTTGCTCAGTCTTTGACTTACCCAGGTGGGTGGAGTCTAGTTACCACCTGCCCTAGATAGAGGCGCACAGGTGCTCCTGGCTCGGAAGAGGGGCAGGAAGGCGCTGGCCCCAAGGACAGTGTTTTGCCCGGTCAGCCGAGAGTAGGCACTGGACTTCTAATTGGAAAAATGGACTGTCCTTTGTCAGGTCCTGGAAGAGTAAAGCAAACAGGCCCGAATATAGCGGGGGCTTCCGTGTTCCACGTGGTCCTTTCAGGAACTGATGCCCGATTCCCTCTCGGTTCTCATCTCCTCCTCTCTCCACCCTTCAGCTCCAGCCGCACTGGCTGCCTCACTGGTCTTCCAACAGAAGGGACACATTGCTACCTCAGGGCCTTTGCACTCACTCTGATGCCTGCCTGGGGTGCTCTTCGCTCCCGTATCGGCATGGCTGCCCCCCCATGTCTTGTGGATGTTTACCAATGTCAGGTCCCTTGGCCGCCTTCCCAAACTGCACCCCCACCCTGTGCCTTAGTCCCCTTCTCTATTACACTTTCCTCCAACACGTGTAGTTTACTGGAGTGTTTATTGACTCACGTTTTGTCTGTTTTTCATCTTGACTCTCCAGTGCTTCGTTAGAACTGGCCCTGGCACGTGGGAGGCACTCCGTACATGGTTGTCGATGGGTGAATGGGAACGGGCCAGGCCTTACTGGCAATCTTTCTGTCCTAGGTACTCCACCATCTACACCATGTTCCCTGTGTTTTCTCTGGTCCTGGACAAAGACGTCAAGTCAGAAGTTGCCATGCTGTATCCTGAGCTCTAAAAGGGAGATAAAGGGGAAAAGAGACAGGAGAGAAAGGCAAGAAGAAGAAGGATGAATAGGAGAGACACAAGATACATTCAAGATTAATAAGACCATCCTTCAGGAACTCCCCTTCCTCCCTTCCTTCCTTCCTGCCTACATCCGCAAAATCCCTCCCTCCTTCCCTCACATCCCACTCCCTCCCTCACCTCCCTCCTCCCTCCCCTCCCCCTTTCCTTCTTCCTTCCCTTCTTCCCTCCCTTTCCCTCCCCTTACTTCCTTCCTTCATCCCCCCCTTTTCTATATTTCATATAAAAGATACCTGATTTGAACACACTTGAACTGGTGGCTTTGAGGAGAAATGCATGGGAGTTTTCCCCTTAAAAAAGTAACATACGCACATGTGAAGAATATTAAACAGTAATATATAAATGGAAAACAAGCCAACTAACAACTTTTCTAGAGGCTCTGGACAGTCTTGTATCTGCTCCTAGAAATGTTTATGTACACGTCTGAAAAGTGTGTGTGTGTGTGAGTGTGTGTGCGTGTGTGAGTGTGTGTGTGTGTGTGTGTGTGTGTAATTTCATTTGCTCTCGAGGGTTTTTTACTAAAGGGCAGACTTATTTCTATCTAGTGTCGATTCTCTTTAAAAAACATAACTTATTTGATGTATTCAGATATGTGTAAGCCACTTCCTTTGATGAAGACAGGCAGGTGGCCTTGCCTCATTTGGGGAGGAGTTGCGTGAAGGCAGCGGGTGCCCTGGCTGAGCCCCGCACGGTAACCTCTTCTGTCTGTCTCTCCTGTAGGGACGGCCGTTGTCCTACAAGACATTCTTAATATGGGTTTTGATTAGCATCTATCAAGGTAAGAAAGGGGAACCCACTGCTTGCCTTCTGCTCTGGCCTGGGCCCCAGGGCAGCTTTATGTTCTGTTGTCTGTAGGACGGAGAAGCTGGAACCCTAGGATAGCAGAAGGGAGCGTGTCCGCCTGCCCCTGGGGGACCCTCTCAGGGAGTCCTAAGGACTAGAATATGCAGCACTCAGAAGTCCCACATGTGAGATGCTGCTGTCAGCTCAATGCCATGAAGTCAGAGAAAAAAATGACTCACACTAATCAAAACCTGCCGAGGTGTTAGAGCCATTGTACCCAAAAGCGATTACTTTCTGGAACGTTCGGCTGCTTTTCCTGAGGTCAAGTTGCAGTGTTTGAAAAGCATATTTATTCCAGTGGCCTCCGGGGAGGGTCCCTGAGGCCGTGGAGGCTTTGTGAAACCTTAGCGAAGTCTGAGGAGGGAGCATCAAAGCCTCTATTTGTTTTTATTTTTCCTCACTCTTTCCAGAAGGTCTATTTAAAGTATGTTTTATAAGCCACATTATATACGGTGGTCCTAATACCTCCCTCCATCAGCTCATATAGAATTTACAAATATACAAGGTATATTGGGGTTTGTGTTTAATGCTTTCTGCTGGCGGGGTGCACAAAGAGTGTGGAGACCGTGGAATTTGTTAGCAGGGGCCTAAATGGTCATGACAAAATGCCAGGGGTATTTTAAAGGAGTGTATCAAGGCATAATATATGCATCTGGGTCAAGAAAGCCAGCCCGGCATGAGAGTTCAGGTGGGAAGCAGTGGGCTGCGTTCCACGCCCTCCACTCCACCGGCTATAACGGGCCGCCACCGGCGGGTCCCCCTCGGCGGGTCTGCGGGTTTCCCCGGGCCGTGCCTTGGGGTGTTATTCCTGTGTCGCTAGCAGTTTTGATCGGTGTGAGACGTATCCGTCCAGCCCCTGCCTTGCTGGCTAAAGCCTCATCTACACCCTCCCGTCTCCTCTCTCTCTCCTCAGTAGCGGCTGAGTGAGCCTCCTGGTCAGCTCTATCATTTCGTATAAAGTTTACCGTCTTAACTCTTGGGAAGGGTACCGTTCGGCAGTGTCCAGTCTATTGGCGCTGTGACAGGTCTCCAGAGCTTTGTATCCATTCGACCATAAACTCCTCTTTCACCTCCTGGCAGCCCCTGGGAGCCTCGGACCGCCAGCCGGCTTTCTGTGTCTGTGAATTCCACTCGTTTAGAGAACTCCTTCATATAAGGGGAATCATTCGGATTTTCCTTTCATGTCTACTTGCCTCTGTCATTTTAAATAATACATTTAAATTTCTATTCCTTGTTCCATCCGCTTCAGATAGTTAACCTCACCCCATCTCCCTCCCTCCCTCTTCCCCCCACCCCCCCACCCCACCCCCGCAGTGATAGACTCCTGATTATTACGTAAGGTCAGAAGGGGAAGTCGGAAAACTAGACAAAACTGGAAAGTGATGCCTCTTTAAAACTTGCATAAAGCACCACTCATTCAGCAAGTGGTACTTTTCAGGTCTTAATGGAAAAACAAATGAAAAAAAAGGCGTCTGACGTGAGTGAGCCGTGAGCCTTCGGGGGAGCGTGGGGAGGCGTCACGGGGGAGGTGGGAGCGCGGGGGTTGGCGCTCCCGGTGAGAATGCCGCCAGGGGCGCAGCGGCCCTCCCCACCCGCACTGTCCTCTCTCCAGGGAGCACCATCATGTACGGGGCGCTGCTGCTCTTCGAGTCGGAGTTCGTGCACATTGTGGCGATCTCCTTCACGTCGCTGATCCTCACGGAGCTGCTGATGGTGGCCCTGACCATCCAGACCTGGCACTGGCTCATGACGGTGGCCGAGCTGCTCAGCCTGGCCTGCTACATCGCCTCCCTGGTGTTCCTACACGAATTCATCGGTGAGACCCCGCCCCCCCCCCCCTATGGGAAGCCTGTCTGTCGCCTCCAGAGGTCTCCCAGCTTGAGAAGGAAGGCAGCCCCCGGCACTGGGGTCCTGGGCTCCGTGTCCAGCAGGCCGTGGCCCTCGACTGCCCCGCTGACGGCTGTCCCGTGGGCAGTGTGCGTCAGCCAGCCGGGCCGGGCGCTTGGGCAGGGTCCCAGCGGAGAGAACTTCCTTTGGGAACTGGATGTGCTGATGGGCTCCGGAGAGGATTCTGTGTCGTTCAACAAGGGCCCGGTGGGTTTCCCAGGGAGCGACTGCTGTGCTGGGCTCTGTGCCGGGTGGAGATGCTGAGTGCCCAGGTCTTGCTGATGAATGAACAACAGTGGGCAGGACTTAGCATTATTCCCTTGGGAAACTGCCTGACCAGGATGGCCCCTCTGATCACGTCTCTGTGCCTCAGCAAACACTCCTTACAAAGGTCTTGGTAAAGATAAAGGAGCATCCGTGTGAAAAGTGAAAAGTCTTAGAACGATTTCACACTTGTCCCCAAGAGTTCAAATGGGTTTTGTCAGCACCTACTATGCGCTCAATGGCTTGAGACTGGGGAATGGGGGTGCTCGCAGGGGCTTAGAAAAGCTGTGGTCGGTCCCCTTAAATGTGCATCTGCCGTAGGACTGGGTGGGCAGCATATAGTGGGCCTTAGGGCTGGCACGTAGTAGGTGCTTAATCAACGCCAGCTGTGTTTCCCCATCCTGTGCTCGGGCAGTGGGGTCATGTTTACTGTGCCCTCCATTCCACGCACTGTTGAAGCCACCAGCTGTCGCCCCCCTAGCACGGAAGGGCGTGCCTGTCCTTAGATCAAAGCCCCGAGCTTACCCTGTTTCCGACCAGGGGGCCCAGCTGCCTTGCGCCACCCCCAGACCCGTCCCCTGGCTTCCTGTGACCATCATGCAGACGAAGGGGAAATCGGTGGGGAAGTAGGCACGTGTGTTTGAGGGTCGCTTTCTGCTCTCCGGCGGCCGTGTTTAAAAACCTCCAACTTTCAGAGCCCAAATCAAAAACACCTGTAAGAATTGGTTTTCGTCTGTAGTTTCTGTTTCCTACTTGTTGAAAAGAGCAGTTCACCGAGGACCAGGAATACAGAAGCAGGTCAGAGAGAGGGGAGCGCCAGGCAGGTCGGGCTGACAGCCTTATGGGCTATTAGCTGCTGGCACGTCTGCCCCTGAAAGATGGAGTGGAGGGAAGGAGCATGCCAGGAGGCCGTGTGTGTGTGTGTGTGTGTGTGTGTGTGTGTGTGTGTGTGTGTGAGACGGGCGATAGCTGTGGTGGCCGTTTCTGGACCACAGGTGCCTTCTGGAACATTCCCGCCCACTCACGCTGTCTTCCCGTTTGCTTGCAGATGTGTACTTCATCGCCACTCTGTCCTTCCTGTGGAAAGTCTCTGTTATCACCCTGGTCAGCTGCCTGCCCCTCTACATCCTCAAGTACCTGCGCAGACGGTTCTCCCCGCCCAGCTACTCCAAGCTCACCTCGTAGGCTGTGTGTGCAGTGGCGGGAGTCTGGTCCCTGCTCTCCTGCCGGACAGAGTTCAGTCCCGTTCATCCTGACCGCCCGAGGGCTCTGCAGGAGGGGCTGCACGTGTGGTGTGGACGAGAAGAGGCTCTGCCTGGAGTCCTGCCCGAATACACGGGAGGGAGCCCCAAGGAGCCCGCGCGGCCCGTGTGAACCCCGTGGTTCTGCCTGGAGTGAATGTGAATGTGTCCCCGTGGGTGGCTCAGCCAAGAGATTTATACGCGGGTCGCTGTGCAAGCTTCCTTATGACTTGAATTTTGTTGTCACGTGATAAAGTTTCTGTCTAGTTGGAGATTGTAGAGGACTTTTGGTTGGTTGGTTTTTTTCATCAGTCCTAACGTGTGTGCACTCTTTATGTCTTTCCTGCTCCTAAAGACTGGTTTTAGAGAAACGTAAAGCTCTTGGTGGAGGTTTGGGGGGAAAGACGGTGCATTTGGTTAAAAGTTATCCGGACACTAACCTCAATTTGGAAACGCCAGGTGTCCCCTCTAAGGCCGCTCCGCTATTGAAGCCGGCCTTCCTAGGATCACAGAAAGGCAAATGAGAGGCGAGGGAGAATGAGCTGCAAATCCACGTTTCCCAGGCATCTCACTCAGCACCCACACTGGAGTCACGTCCCCGCCACCTCGTAAAGGAGTGTCAGAGGTGCCACTCTGCTTTGTCCGGACCTGGGAGCAATCATGAAGCCCGCGGCCATCTAGGACACCCGCGACATCCTCTGGGAGTTGTTTTCGCAGGACATGTGCCACCGAACAGCCCCTTAATATGCCAACAGGGTGAAAAGAGGTACAACTAATTCTTTAGACAATGGGGCTCACACGGCTCGGACCCTGGTCCAGAGCGGGGAGGTCAGGACTGGGCCCTTCACCCGCACTGATGTCTGTTTCCTGTTGGGAGGAATGATGGAGGACGGAAGGACAGAGGCGGCGGCTTCTTACCACGTTGCCATGCTTGGTGGCAGCTTCGAGCAGGGAGCCCCACGGGAGGAGGCCTGGCATGGGCCTGCGCTCTGCTCCACGGCCTGCAGGCTTCACGGGGGGAGGGGGGGCTTCCAAAGGGCAGGCAGAGGCCGAGACGCCACCCACCGGGCTGCGGCACGGGCATGGTGTTTTTTTGTTTTTTTTTTAAATGTATTATTGATTTTTACAGAGAGGAAGGGAGAGAGATAGAGATTTAGAAACATCGATGAGAGAGAAACATCCATCAGCTGTCTCCTGCATACCTCCTACTGGGGATGTGCCTGCAACCCAAGTACATGCCCTTGACCGGAATTGAGCCTGGGACCTTTCAGTCTGCAGGCCGACGCTCTATCCACTGAGCCAAACCGGTTTCAGCTGGGCGTGGTGTTTCTTATAAAGCCGTGGCTTCTCGTTCCGGTCACTCTTGCAGCGGCCAGGTGTGCAGGCCCCGGGGGTTCCGTTGGCGAGTCTTCAGGAGGTGACTGTGTTTGAGGCCTCAGATGGGTGGTTAATCCTGTGTGAGTACATGCCCTTCAACCCATGGGCACGGCTTCTGTGTGTGCTTCAGAGACGTAGGCTCGGCCTGGGTGCTGGCCCCACTGCCCGAGGGCCCCTGCTCCGGGGACACGAGGAGCCGGCATGCCTCGCCTTGGCAGCGCCCTTCCTGTGCTCACGTCTTCATGTTGCCTTTTTATATCTTTATAAAGTGACAGCAAGTTGCAGGCCCTCGGAAATTAGCTATTGACAGCACTTCTGTCTTAAGATTCTGCAATTTTACAGTATTTGCCCCTCTCTGTTCCAGCCATTTCCACCTCCCACTGAGATCTACAGGGAGCATATATAGGGTGGGGCAAAAGTAGGCTTACAGTTGTTCATATGGAAAAATCATGCAATAATTAATAAATGATGATATAAGGATAAACTGTTTTGCATACTCATAACTGTAAACCTACTCCCCCCACTCCTTCCCCCCCCCCCCCGGGTCCCCCTATAATGCAGTGGAGGAATGGCTATTTCAGAACAGGGTTTTTGCCTAGAACGCTCAGAAAGGTCGAGCAGGTCTGAGTCCACTGTGCTATTTTACAGTTTCGGAGGTGGAGGAGGAGGCTGTGCTCCGAGTGCCTGCACCTGGCTGCCGTGTTGGGCGTCAGACGGGCGTCTTAAGTATTTACTCTCTGCGCTTGCAAACCCGGGACCGGGCCTTGCTCACAGGCTGGTGAGGGCTCCTGCAGGGAGGGCGTGTGGATTCCTTGTCCGGGACATTCGGGTGTTCCCAGCAGACACGGGACGGAGATGGTTTCTGTGGCCTTCCCCTGAAGTCCCGTTTTGGGCAAGGTGCGTGAGTTGACCTTTAAGATACTGCTTGGCCTCTCGAAGGGAGAACGCTTCTAAGGGGGCTGGAGAAGCCATCCCTGAGGGGCGACGGATGCGCGTCAGGGCCACCAGACACGCCCTGCCCACTGCCCTTGGGCACACTCTGTGGAGGCAGTCGGGCGAGGGGGATGAAACCCTGTAGAGACCACCATGGTGTAAGCCACCCGAGGGTGGGCAGCCTGCTCACGCCCCTGCTGGGGTCCGGGGGCGCCTAGGAATGGGGATCCCTACCGGCACACACCAGACTAATCCCAGCAGAGAACTGGTGCCCACTGGGCGCTTCTGGGGGCATCTTAGTGGTTGGGGGGAACCGAGAAACGAAACACCGGAGCTCTTTTGAGGGAAACTCCCAAGTTCATGACCTTGACCATAAGGCTTCTGTTGACTGTTTTCTGGGTTCATCCACCTGGAAAGATCTTCCCTTCGCTTTGGAACTCAATGGGATCCCAGGCCCAACAGCCAGTTGAGTCTGAGGCCAGAGGCCCCGTGGCCACAATCAGCAGGTTACACACGTCCTTCTAGTGAAAACGACCACTCCCTCCGCCCTCGGTATTTGTGCCAGAGCAAGCACTTCTGTTATTTATGATTATTCCTTTTACATCTTTTGGTGACGGTGTGTGTTGGGGGGGCGGTAAGAATGGTTTCTGTTTGCCCCCCTTGTCCTCCCTTTCTCTAAGAAAATGGCCAGGCGAGCCACTGGAGTGGTTTCTCCTGCCTGGCAGGGTGACTACCTTGGGGAGCCTGCATGCACGTGTGTGTGGAGCCTGTGGTGGCCGGTGAGGCTCTGGGTGAGGCTGGCCGCACTGACTCGGGCTGCTTGGGGCAAAGGACTTGCCACCTGGAGCTGGGAGGCCAGGAGCTGGGGTTTCAAACGCCCGCTGTTGGCATTATTATATCCAGATCCCAGATTCGCTTCCCTGAAGCGCACCCCTTTTTTGTCGCCGTCATCATAAATGCCACCATCTGCTTTCCCGTCCCCCAGCTTCTCTGCTGAAAACGTAGGTGATTCTGACAACTTTGGAATGTACTTTGCGTTCTGTGCTCATTGGAAATGACATCATAATGCCTGTTTTTCTTCCGCCAGACTTTTGTTTTCATACTTTTTTTTTTTTTAAAACTGGGGTGGGGATGGCAGTGCCCGCACGCCTTTCCTGGGGCAGCATTTTAAACCTTTGCCAAAATTTCAAACGGGACCTATGCATTCTCCCAGTCCACCCTGCGTGAGGCAAACACCCATCAGCTATTTTTAATCTCTGTGTGTGTGTTTGAAATGTGTGTGTGTCGGGGGGATGTATGATGTTATCTCCAGGTTTTTGAAGAGAGATTTGGTTTGGGTCAACATCCCATCATGCCCAGCTTTGTAGTCATTAAAAGAAACAATCACAATGAGCTTTGTAAATACAACAGATTTTATTTCTCTCCCCTTTCAATGTAAAGCTTTCGGTCATTTCTATATACTTGTTAGGAAACGGATCCTTTAACTGTGTCCATTTCACCCTGGAAGGATGCTCGCTGTGCTTTTGGGAGGGACTGAGAGCACAGTCCGTAGCACCTGAGGCCACAGCAGCATCACCTGGGAAACGGCGTCTCCGTCCCAGCGCGGGGGGAGGTGCGGTCTGTTCGTGTCGCCAGACGGTGTCACTGAATGTTGTGTTTGCTGGGGCAGGCGGGCGTGCGGTGTTTGCAAGAAGAAGAACTCGTGGCTCATTTCTGACTTTCTTGCGCCGGGGCTGGCGGTAACCGCATGGAGGGTCCCCGAGGGCCTCATCAGTGCTCTGTAATCCTCCCTGCGGTGCTCACGGCCGCGGTTTTGATGAGAGGGAGCGGGTAAAGTGCACTTTAATTTGGCAGGGACTCCCAGATGCTTTAAATTCTCGATCCTGTGATGGCACACGTGTGATCCCGCGTGCTTCCGAGCGGTCCTGCTTTCATTGTCTGCCGGCGTGGCCTGCTGCTGTTGCCCAATAAAGCTTGTGCACTTATGCTTTGGGGGTCGTTTTAATTTGTGTGCAAACATGAATTCTGGTGTCAAAATGAGGGCTTTTTATTCTGATGCTTCTCTTTTGTGCAGATCTCCTGGTACATAAATGGTAAATAGCTTTTTCTCCATTTAAATTTTTTTTTTTAATTTTAGCAAAAAAACAACAAACCCACCCACCCCAAACCCATGCATTATTTATTGACCTGTGCTGGTGTGTGTTGCAGACATGTCGGAATTTCAAACAGTGATCGACATACATAGAAAAAAAGGAGAAAAGCGTTCGACAAGATTCATGTTGTATTTACACACCCATGGTCCTTGATTGCTTCGGATACTTTTGTATGTTTTGAGTCATGGGATAGAAGACTTAGGAACGCGGTGACTTAAGTTTTAGGCACATGAGGTTTCTAGGCTCATTTGTGAGAAGCAGAGGACATGTTTTACCAATTTCATCTGACGATCCTCATCTCGGAGTGATTTTGCCCCCAGGGGACATGCGGAGTGTGGGGAGTCACAGCTGGTGTGTGTGTGTATTGGGGGGGGGGGTTGCCCTGCTTCTAGCGAGGAGAGCCCCGGATGCCGCGGGACACCCTACGGTGCACAAACCCCCTCAACAAAGAAGCAGTCGGGCCCCCGATGTCAAAAGTGCCGAGGCTGTGAAACCCCAACAGACTCTGCGCATGTCAGTCTTACCCTTTGTCGGTGCCTTCCCCCATGTCCCGGGGAGCCCAGCCCCAGACACCCCCGTGTCCCAGCCACGCGTGCACCTGCCTGGCCAGATGTTTCAATTAGTAGCTGTTGGCAGTGTGGGCCGCAGTGTGGGCTCTCGGTGGAAAGGCCCTTCTCCGTTTATCAGTTAAAGAGATTGTACGTGAACTGTGTCTCCATCAGCAGCGGCTCCCTGGGCACACGGGATGCGTGCCCTCGGCTCCTGTGACGTGGGCGCAGGAGGAGCACCCGGCAGTGCTTTCCTAAAGCGTGTGTG